AAAAAAAGAACAGCATTTATTTAAAATAGAAATCCTTTTTTAACAATACATTACCATTCAAAAGTTTGGGGTCAGTATCTTTTCTCTTTTTTTGAAATAAATTAATACTTTTCTTCAATAGTAAAGTAGTAAAGTACTTATATTGTTAGAAAATATTTCTACCAAAAAAAAAAATCCAAAAATGTCATTTTTTTAAAATTTGTATTAGTTTGCATGCATGTGAGCCTATGATCAAGCAAAATTTTTATATTTATGTTTGTATATGATAGCTTTATAAATTTATAAATGTTTTGAAAAATATTGAAAAATATGAAAGTTTTAAAAATCCAATTAATTCCCAAAAATTCACGTAAATTCCCATAAACTTGGAATATTTCCAAAATTCCCCAGACGAAGTTCCCATAGAAAGTTGCCGGAAAATTTCAAACCTTCAAAACCCAAAATTCTAAATTTCAAAACCCCCAAAAAATGAAATCAAACCTTAATTATGCATGTAGCATTTATGCATGCAACGTGCCTTACGTTTGCATGTAAAACAAAAGTCCAAAAGTCTGGAGTCAGTTTTTTAAATTTATTTATTATTATGTTTTCAACTGCTGAAAAATTCTGCTTTGCCATTACAGGATTTTTTTTTTGTATTCAGTGTATATATTCAAATAGATTTTTTATTTGTAATATTTCACAATATTACTGTTTTTACTGTATTTTTGATCAAATATATGCAGCCTTGGTAAACATAAAAACATTATTACTTCTATCAAAAACATTAAAAAATCTTACAGACCCCAAACTTTTTAAATACTTAGAATGGCTATTATTGCTGACCGGTGTTATAGGATAAGTTTCACAAAATTTTTCAAGAACATGAAATGATCATATTTTAACCTAAAATCAAAATTTAAAAAATACATTCCAGTAAAAAAAAAAATTGGAGTGAAATGTGACCAGGACATGTCTTTGTGAGTTTCACCCTAAACCAAATGTCCTCGTCAGGTTGACAGACTATTACTCACCTCCAAGAAACTGCATGCCCCCCGCTGCACGTCCGATGGTTCTGGAGATGAGTTCTGATATGCAGCAGCCCATGACCGCGGTGAGCGCCACCAGCAGCAGCAGGCCACATCCAACCCCCGTCACGACTGTACAGATCCGCCACTCCACGCTCGGGATACCCTGAAAGCTTGCATAGCGCCCGCACTGCTCCAGCATGATCGTAGCCTGCCTCTCTTCGTCCCGAACGGGGTACGAGCACCGCCGGAAAGTACCGAAGGACACTGGTTTATCCATTTGTGAGCCCAGCAGCCAGTAGGGCATGAAGAACCCCACGCAGGAAGCTGCTGCGCTCAGCAGGGACACCAGAGCCCAGATCATCCCCGTACACGTGAGGCTGGATGCCATTCTGGAGAAATGTCTTTAAATATTGGCCACAATTCCAGAAGAAAGCTTGGAAAAGAGGATATCAGACACACACAAAAAAATCTAAATCAAAATAATGATTCCTTTTGCCTTGTTGGAAAGAGGATGTCTAGCTCCATACAGTCTTCACCATTGTTCTGTGTGCAGTCACCTGAGAAGAAGCAATAAAACACATTGTCCCCTCAGTCTTCACAGTAAAGATTCACAATTCCTGTTATATATGCAACGGCATTCATATACACTACCAGTCAAAAGTCTGGGGTCAGTAAAAATTGTATTTATTTATTTATTAAATTAATTAATTAATACTTGTATTCAACAAGAATGCATTAAATTGATCAAAAGTTACAGTAACATTTTTAATTTGACAAAACAATTATATTTCAAATAAATTATGCTCTTTTGAACTTTCTAGTAATCAAAGAATCCTGAAAGTCATAGTTTATTGTAATCAGCACAGCTGATTTATACAAACAGCCCCCAAACTTCTGAACAATAGTGCACTTTTTAAGTTTAGATTATGTGCCCAAATGTATCTGGCCACTTAATTTTATAATGTTACAGCACATTTTCTTTCGTATAGTGTTAGTGATTAGTTGTGCATTTCAATATGATATGAAAATATATTAATCAAAGTTTTATAACATTAACTAATGATGTCAAGCTTCTGAAGTTTAATTTAATGTTTGTTATATTGTTAATTAAAGTTGCCACCCAACTTTTTTCATATAAGGCTGAGTGTGGAGTCTAACATCTAATATTTACACAGAATATTACAGGTGGTTACTAGCAAAGAAAAAGAAAACAAAAAGAAAAGAAAAAAAAAGAAAATGGCTAAAAAAGTTTCATGTGGTAACATCTGCATTCAACGATTTTATTAAAGTATTTGATATGACTAAACGAATCTGAATACAGTAAGTCGAATAGAAACTCCTTTTAAGGGTCGGAACTCCTTATGGTAACAATTGCACATTTTCACTTTTCACTGCATGAATCTCTTATTATTAAGACATAATATGCATGATATATCAGCTGTGCTCATATAGCATATGTGCATTTATATTTTAGGATGTTAAGAATTATTATGTAATGTAATCATACATTATAGGTATTAATAATATTAATCTAAGTTACTATAAAGTCTCAAACGTCTAATATTTACAGAAGATAAAGGGGGGGGGGGTCCTACAAAGCTCAACAGACTGATCATCTATTATTAGTGCCACTTCATGACAGTCCTATTATAAACAGCTGCCATGCAAAAGACGCCATCATGCAAACCATAAATATTCATAAGAACATCGTATGTGATAACTTACATAGATATATTCTGACTGGTGTGTTAATTTCAAATTCCGGTCCAGCTTCGTGGGACCGTGAGAAGAAATAAACTTTGTCCGCTGAACGGGGCGCAAGTCGCGGTACGCGCGCAGAAAACATGCATTAAATTCCTTACATGGAGTCTGCTGAGATCTGCTTGAGTCTTTCTGTTTATTTCACTGTCACTCCTGCAGGAAAGCGCTAAAATAATCCCAGTGTATTTCAGAAGACACAAGAAATATTGAGCTGTGTCCGTGTCCACGCACCGAGCGCTGTGTGGCAGCAGACAGACTACACGAGTCCGAGGCGCGCTCGCTTGCGCTTGGCTCACTCACTCGAGGCTCCTCCCACAGCCCTGCTGCCTTTCAACCAGCGGGGCTAGTTGTCACACTTTTTACTCCAGTGTATATTTCACAGAGTAAAATTATTTTAAAATCAGTTTCTGTACAGACACGTTAAGTCTTTACTACAAAAAAAAAAAAAGATCATATATGCCTAGGGGGAAAAGATGCAGTTCATTTACCATACATGCACGCTTTTCAGTGACTACCTGGGTTAAAAAATAAATAACAATAAAAATAAGAATAAAAACTAAAGACAGAAAGAAAAAAATAAAGAAAAAAGAAAAGAAAAGAAATAGTCCACTTAAAGCAAGGGTTCATGGACCCCCGGGGGCCACAAGGGAGTACTAGGGGGTCAATAGAAAAGTTTAGTGAAGAAAACGTAAAAAAGTAAAATCAAATAAGTAATAAATTAAGTTAATAATATTGAACTAACTTTAATCAGACTAAACTAACTAAATATACTAAACCAACCAACTAACTTTAAATAATAAATAATACAACTAAAATAGTGAGTAAAATAAAACAATTTAAAAAACATGATAATGTAATGTAATAAAAATAAACAATAAATATAATGTCATTAAACGTAAGAAACTACATTATTTTCCAAATGATATTTTACACATATTTACATATATAAATTTTTCAGATAGAAATTAAAATAAATTCTCTAAGACTAAGTTAGGACTTGACTAAGGAGTGCAAAATAAGCCATTGACTAAAAAGCAGCTTAGGGAGAGTTGTGATAGGGCTGAAAGGATGGAGGAGCATGTGTAAAGCTCAAGAGATGCTGGTGCAAAGTGGTGCATGCTTGAGGAGTGACCACAGCTGTGAATAATTCACAAAGGCTTCACATCCAGAAACACCACAGAGAGAGCAACCCTGTGACTCACCTCCTTTCTCCATTTAATCCCTCTGAAGAGAAATGGGCTGAAATTCAATTGTTTTTGCCCTCTTGGGTGCAATATCTGTAGTTGTTGTGATTATTCAATGTCAAGGTAACTCCCCTTTTCCCTCTGGCAAGGTGAAGGTCAAGGCACTGGTTTAAAGTGATTTGTTGCATTTTAACAGCATTTATAGGTGCCATTGGTTGGGGAATTAAATTGACAGCAAGTTGTGTCACCTCAAAAGACCACTGTTTTTATTGTGTTTGTGAACTTAAGAGTTCAGGTGGTTAAATCCCCCCGAAAAAAACAAACAAACAAAAAAAAAAAACACTTTCAATCTCACAGTTCTGCCAGATCTTTTTTTTTTTTGACGTTTGAGACCTTCTGTTGACTTTTACTGCTTACATCTATTTTTTTTTGTTGACGTTTGAGACCTTCTGTTGACTTTTACTGCTTACATCTACTTTTTTTTTAATATTGAGCAAATGTTTCTCCTAACTCTAAGCCTCGAATCTTTCTGCATTTCTACTTTTTCATTAAGATATTACTTTTCCTCATAAGAATCACTAGCTTCTCCCCACAATGTAGGTAATTTCAGGTTTTATCTTTATGGGGACAATATTAGCCTATCTTTATGCACATTATTTGGTCCCTGCATGTATGCAAAACCTGACCCATATACTTACGCATTTATACGGTATCTAACTAAATGAGGATTTATTAATTATAATAATTAATAATAATATTTAATAATAATATTTGTAATAATAATTATATTTATATTTATATTAATATATCATATAATTATCATATTATTATATTACATATAAATAGCCTATATTTATAGTCTACATTTATTTTATAAGATATGTTTTATTCAAATATATCAAAATGCTTAAAACATTATTGGTCTATGTAGAACATTAGAACATGAAACATTTCCCTTCAATGACACCCTCAAAGGGTGACACCGTAATTTCTGGAGATTTGTTTTTTTGCGCAAACGTCAACAGCTCGAGGTGCGGAACTAATGTGTCGACCTCTTGTTGTTGCAGTGGGACGTTTTTCTGGTTACTCAAAACAGCTTCCTGGAGGTTGACGTGGATGTTGATGATGGCAGAGACTAAAGCAGAGCTGTCAATTGATGCTTCAAACCTTCACACCTCTAACAGCAGCGGGAATGCGTCCTCACAGCCCAACAACCCTCTATCCAGAAAACTCAACAAGATCCTGGAGACCAGGCTGGATAATGACAAGGTTTGTGACAGTCTGTTCGCATTTGCTAACTTCTTAGATCGCAGTGCACCTGTCACTACAAATTGTTTGCACGTACGTAATTAATAATAATAACAAAAATAAATAAATAAACATAATTTCCGAGTCTCTAATTTATATATTAAATTGCACATACACTTAATTTTTCATTAAAATGTTTTGCCATGTGTCTCTGATTCAAACATGGATGATAAAACTGTCCTCAATTAGAGAAAGGATAAGTGCCAAAATGTACCATGATATTATATATTATTAAAAACAATGGTACACAATAAATAATATTTCAGTAGCGTGGTGTTCTGCACGTCAAACCCTTACAGAAAAGTACATTTGTACACTGTTATGTTATAACATGGTAAATCTTCAGGGTTTGGACAAAGTAATATGAACACTAATTATTGTAAGAGTGAATATAGTTTGTGTAGGTTATAGTGAAAAAAACAAATGTTTCAATTATTTTTTTATTAACTTCTCATTGACTATATTCTCTAGGTTGTATTTCAGTGTAGTAAAGGTTGTGTTCAGGAGTGCTTAGTAAAAGCCATGGGTGAAATAGGAAACTTGTCAGACTTCCCCCCCCAAAAAAGGGGCAAATCTTTGAAGCCCGTTTAGCATGAGCATCTGTAACCTTACCAGCCCAATTGTGTTTAAAAGGGGTCATATGATGTTGCTAAAAAGAACATTATTTTGTGTATTTGGTGTAATGAAATGTGTTTATGCGGTTAAAGGTTCAAAAAACACATTATTTTCCACATACTGTACATTATTGTTTCTCCCCTATGCCCCGCCTTCTGAAAGGCGTTGATTTTTACAAAGCTCATCGGTCTGAAAAGCAAGGTGTGCTTTTGATTGGCCAGCTATCCAATGCGTTGTGATTGGCCGAA